TTGCCAGCGTGTTCCATTAACCTGCCTCCATCTTGAGGTTATCTTGAGATGATTTCGGGGCTTTTTAGTGTCCCCGCGGCCCGGTCCTCGACCAGGCCTCCACCCCGAGGAAGCAGCCCGTGACAGCTGACTAACACCCAGGTACCTATTTTACTGCTAGGTAACAGGGGCATAGGGTGAAAGAAACTCAGCCCATTGTTTCTCGCCGGCGCCTGGGATCGAACCCAGGACCACAGGATCACAAGTCCAACGTGCTGTCCGCTCGGCCGACCGGCTCCATAGCTTAACACTCTCTCAGCTTAACTCTCTTAGCTTTCACGCCACCCGTGTTGCAAACCTTTGTACTTTAAAATTTCGGTTTTATGGTTCACAAGGTGCGGATTCCATACCGGTGCTGCATACTCCAGTATTTGTCTTAAAATTATTGCGTAGGAGTCCTGATTCAGGTTTATACACGACTTTCTTATGCTAGCTGACATACGGTGGTGGAAAGGTTACAAAGGCACATAGTCCAGGAACTGAACCCCCAATATTCGTTTAGCTAAGCAAGTTTCAGCATTGATTATCATTAACTAAAACAACATGGTTGATTAAGTTTTAGTTAGTTTAGCTTAGCATTGCTAAATTATAATGGCTAATATCCTATGGGCTGGGAGAGAAGGGTCGGTCACTCTTTAAATCAGAACTTACGTTAAACAATGATATTTGTGTTCAACTGTTTTCATTTGGTTTCTGGTTATGGCTTATAGCCTCCCGCACCCAACCAAATGGTGGTGTTTTTATTATTATTATTATTATTTTTTTTTTTATTTATTTTTTTTTATTATTTTCTACCACAGACGTGGCCACACATTTACAATGCTAACCAGCATATATACATGGTGCAAGGCCAACTGTCACAAGAGTTTCAGGCAGTAAACCTGTGTTAGTTTAATTATGGAAATTTGTGATCACGTTGAAGGTTAAATTGCAGACTGTCGGTAACTAAGCAAGTAAATTTTATTTATCCACAGGTAGTGAAGGTGAGCTTATATGGACAGTGTTATGGTTTGTTAAGTTATAAGCGATGAACTTTATTATACAGTTACAACGGGGCTGCATTAGCATATATAATATATTAGCTTTGGTCTTTAACATTATTTTCCAGGTGTATATTATTTGGTATCTCTCTCGTCTCCTTTCTAGTGAGTACATTTGGAGAACTTTGAGGCGATCCCAATAATTTAGGTGCTTTATCGCGTCTATGCGTGCCGTATATGTTCTCTGTATTCCCTCTATTTCAGCAATCACTCCTGCTCTGAAGGGGGAAGTGAGTACTGAGCAGTACTCAAGACGGGACAACACAAGTGACTTGAAGAGTACAACCATTGTGATGGGATCCCTGGTTTTGAAAGTTCTCGTAATCCATCCGATCATTTTCCTGGCTGACGCAATATTTGCTTGGTTATGCTCCCTAAACGTTAGGTCGTCGGACATCATTGTTCCCAAATCCTTGACATATTGTTTTCCTGCTATGGGCACATTTGATTGTGTTTTGTACCCTGTATTATGTTTAAGATCCTCATTTTTACCGTATCTGAGTACATGGAATTTATCACTATTAGACATCATGTTATTTTCTGCTGCCCAATCGAAAACCTTATTAATATCTGCTTGTAGTTTTCAATATCTTCAGCAGAGGTGATTTTCGTGCTGATTTTTGTGTCATCTGCAAGGGATGATACGAAGCTGTGACTTGTATTTGAGTCTATATCTGATATGAGAATAAGGAAAAGCAGTGGTGCAAGGACTGCACCTTGAGGTACAGAACTTTTAACTGCGTTTGGACTCGATTTTATATGGTTCACTGTTACTCTGTGTTCTGTTCGACAGAAAACTGAGTATCCAGCGTCCTAATTTACCAGTTATTCCCATTGACCTCATTTTGTGTGCTATCACTCCATGGTCACATTAATTGAATGCCTTTGCAAAGTCTGTGTATACCACATCAGCATTCTGTTTTTCTTTTTATGCCTCAGTGATTTTGTCGTAATGGTCAAGTAGCTGTGAGAGGCATGATCTTCCCGCTCTAAATCCATGTTGGCCTGGGATGTTTAAAAGAAAACCTGCTGGCACTATACACCAATATATATATATATATATATATATATATATATATATATATATATATATATATGTCGTACCTAATAGCCAGAACGCACTTCTCAGCCTACTATGCAAGGCCCGATTTGCCTAACAAGCCAAGTTTTCATGAATTAATGTTTTTTCGATTACCTAACCTACCTAACCTAACCTACCTTTTTCGGCAACCTAACCCAACCTAACCTATGAAGATAGGTTAGGTTAGGTTAGGTAGGGGTGGTTAGGTTCGGTCATATATCTACGTTAATTTTAACTACAATAAAAAAAAATTGACCTCATACATAATGAAATGGGTAGCTTTATCATTTCATAAGAAAAAAATTAGAAAAAATATATTAATTCAGGAAAACTTGGCTTATTAGGCAAATCGGGCCTTGAATAGTAGGCCAAAAAGTGAGTTCTGGCTACTAGGTACGACATATATATATATATATATATATATATATATATATATATATATATATATATATATATATATATATATATATATATATATATATATATATATATATATATATAGTTTAAGCACTGTCTATTCACTATAACAATAAGTAAGCAGCATATGACTAAAGCTAAAGCAACAGAAATTAGGGGAGTACATTTCTACGGACCTGAATCCATGCACAACACAGCTGATCTGTTGGCCACTAAACAATAACAATGAAGCGATCATTCATCCGGTACTATTATAGCTCCACCCCAAGACGATAGACAAACGTTTACTACATTCACCCCGTATAGCATTTAGGTGACATAGATGCGTAGGGGTACTGCGCATTCTTCAGATCGACGAAGGGATTCCTGCAATGTTGAAGGGTCCAGCGTTCCAGTTGTTTCCTGTATACCACTTTCTCGAGGGAGTATTACTTCAGAGATAGGGTCCCAAGTAGGTGTTTCTAGGTTAGATGGCCCGGGACGAAGTAGTTCACGATGAGGTAGTTAGTAATTAAATTACTTAATTAAGTAATTAACTTTAAGTAGTGTAATCTATATATTAAAAACTGAGCTGTAATGCGAATCCTGACCTTAAACGCTTCCTAGAAGGTTGTAACAGAACTCATGAGCACCACACCAGAAACAAATACCTATTTGATATTCTAAGAATGCGACTTAACCAAACTAGAAATGCTCTACAAATCAAGGGACCTAGAATGTGGGATGACCTTCCCAATCACGTCAAAGGCTGTACCTCTCTCTCAACCAGTTTAAGATGAAAATTAAGTACTACCTAATTAACTCCATGTAACCTTCCTTACCCCTAAATGACAACGCCGTTGGTACTCTTTTTTTTTTTTTAGGGGGGAGCGGAAGCCAAACTGACAGGGACTTAGAATATTGAATTTTACGAGGTAGGAGTAGAGCTGTTTATAAATGATTTTTTTCAAATATTTTTGATAATATGGGTAAGTGTGATATTGGTCTGTAATTGTTTATGTCCTCCGTATCGCCTCCTTTATGAACTGGCGTTACTCTTGTTTTTTTTAAGGATATCAGGGAAGGTATGAAACTAGAGATTTGTTGAACAGCAGAGCTATGGGTGGCGCAAGGGTATGGGAGACACTCTTGTATACCATAGATGGTATTTCACTAATGTTCCCAGCTTAGGTTTTTAGTGAGTGTATGATGGACACAACATCTGTAGGGCTGACTGGTGAAAGGAGAAGAGAGTTTGGATAGCTGCCTGAGAGATATGTGTTAACATGTGTCTGAGTCTGTGGGATTTTTCTGGCATGGTTAGCACCAACCGATGAAAAGAAACTATTAAATACAGTTGCCGTTTCTGAATCTGTTGCAGGTGTATAACCATTATTGGAAATTTTTTATCTGATTGTTATATGATTGCTGTTTAAATCCCAGGATGTTAGAGATGGCTTTCTATGAGCTTTTCATGTTTCCTTTTGCTTCTTTGAATCTACTCTTATAATATGAAAGTTTTTCTCTTATTATTATACTGGTAAACATTGATGAATATCTCTCAACTACTTCTTTTGTAACTAGGTCAATTCTAAGTTTTTCTTATGTTTCTTGTTGATTGCTTTGAGTATGCCATTTGTGAGCCCCCACAGCCAGGGGTTGTTTAATCTCTTGACAGTTACTTGCTTGGTGAGGAGAGGACAGTGAGTGCTGTAGAGGGTTAAAGTTCTGGAAAGGAAGAGGTTGGCTAATGAATTTATATCCTGTGTATTATTGAATTCTGATTCCCAATTAATATTGTGAAGTGCATTTGTGAGGTTGCCTATAGCTGCTTCACTGTGTAACCTTAAGGTAAGTTTCTTGTTATCTGTAGGTGTTATGTCCATGTTTGCTCTGAGGAAGGTAGAACAGTGGTCAGTTGTTCTGTCAGTGATTATACCATATGAATGGGGAGCTGTTATGTTAGTCCATATAGGTAGTCCAGGGTAGTAGCGGATGTTTGAGTGATTCGGGTGGGCTTGGTGATTGTGGGGATTAACATACAGGTGTTCATGCTGTTTAGGAAATAGTCGACTTGAGGGCTATGTTGTTGACACAGGTGAATATTGAAGTCATCTCCTAGAATGACTTGATTTATGTTGAGATTATTATTTGTGATAAGATTTCTTAGGTTATCTGAGAATGCAGTTATATTAGTATTGTGAAATCTATAGATAGCTCCAATAGTCATGTAGGATTTAAGGGATTTAATAGAGAACTGAACAAAGGTATATTCACAGTAGTCGTGTATCACTAATGCCACTACTTATACTTAATAATATTGTACTAATAATAAGATAATATAATATTAGACACGGGTATTGGGTGTATTCCTAACAGTGTTTAGTATAACTAATAGGTAAACTGTCTATCCAATATGTGGCTGATGATAGTTGTGGTTACAGGGTTGAGCCGGAGTGACGACACCTACGTCGGCAAAAAGATTGGAGAACTTAACAGCTACCATCACCAGGTACGTCTAAGTGACGTGTTGTTGAGGCGGGACCAAAGAGCCAGAGCTCAACCCCCGCAAGCATAACTAGGTGAGTACACACACACACACACACACGCCCTCCTCTTACCCTCACACACACACACACACACACACACACACACAGTGGGGAGTGGGGAACCCTCCTCAAACAGTGCAACAGCCACAGGGAGTGGGGCACCACCCCCACATTCTACCCAACAGACACCCAACCTGCTCCATTCCCTGTCAGCCCCCCACTAAGTACCCGCCTAGGGCACCCTCCCTCCACCCACCCCCTCCTCCCAATCACCCCCCTCCTCCTACTCACCCCTCCCCCCAGGACCTCCCTTCTCCTCCATCCCCCAAGCCCTCCCTTCTCCCACATGCGTTCCCGTTTATCCCACCCCCAAGCCCTCCGTTCTCCCCCACCCCCCACTCTCCCCCACCCCACCTAAGCCTTCCCCTCTCCACCACTCCCCTAAACCCTCCCCTCTTCCTCGCCCACCTCAGCCCTCCTTTCCCCTCCTCCCCCACGCCCCCCAAGCCCTCCCCCTTTTCTCCCCCCCCAAGCCCCCCATCTCCCCTATCCAACAAAGCCTCTCCTCCCCCCATGCTTCCCCAACCCTCCCCCTCTCACCCCCCCAACCCTCCACCAGTCTCCCTGTACCAGATCCCCCCAGCTCCTGCTCACCCCAGATCCCACAGGTCTTCCCCAGAGGAGAAGCAGAAGATAGTCAGTTTCAGGGTAATGTACTCGAACATAGATGGGATCACAAGCAAGACAAGTGAACTAAGGGAAAGAGCACAAGAAGTGAACCAAGATGTAATCGGACTCACTGAAACAAAACTCTCTGGAATCATAACGAATGCCGTGTTTCCCCAGGAGTACACAGTAATAAGGAAAGAGAGGGAAGGTAGGGGAGGAGGCGGAGTGGCCCTACTCATGAGAAAGGAATGGAGTTTTAAGGAGATGGCTATCCCGGGCTGTGAGGGGTTCAGAGACTACATAGCAGGCACCATGACAGTGGGAGGACCTAGAATAGTAGTAGTAATAATATACAACCCTCCACCAAATGACAGGAGACCCAGTCAAGAGTATGAACACAACAACATGGCAGTTAACACTATAATTGAGAGGGCAGCCTCTGCTGCCTGTAGAAATAGATCCCACCTGCTCATCATGGGCGACTTCAATCACGGAAGGATTGACTGGGAGAACAAGGAACCGCATGGAGGCGAGGATACGTGGAGGGCCAAACTATTGGAGGTGGTGACTAGAAACTTTTTAACCCAGCATGTCAGAGAACCCCACAAGGATGAGAGGCAATGATGAACCAGCGAGACTCGACCTAGTCTTCACTCTGAACGACTCCGACATAAGAGAAATCGGTTTTGAGGACCCAGTAGGAATGAGCGACCACAGTGTACTGGTGTTTGAGTACCTGATTGAAGAAGGGTTATTGAACTCGAGGAGAGATACCGAAACCAAAAGGTTAGCTTACCAAAAGGGAAACTATGAGGGGATAAGAAAATTCCTAACAGATATAGCATGGGGAACAGAGCTAAGGGAAAAGGCGACCCAAGATATGGTGGACTACATCACGCAGAAGTGCAAGGACGCAGCAAACAAGTTTGTCCCAGTCCAAAAGGAAAACAGAGAAATGAAGATGAGAAACCCATGGTTTAATCAGAGATGTAGGCTAGCTAAGCAGCAAAGTAAAAGGGCATGGAGAAACTATAGGAATAACAGGACACTGGAGAGCAGAGAAAGATACCAGAATGCCAGGAATGAATATGTCAGGATGAGAAGAGAGGCAGAAAGACAATACGAAAATGACATCGCAAGCAAGGCAAAGACTCAGCCTAAATTGTTGCATAGCCACATCAGGAGAAAAACAACAGTAAAGGAACAGGTTATGAAATTAAGGATAGGGGCAGAAGGATTCGTTACAAACGACAAGGAAGTGTGTGAGGGACTGAATAAGAAATTTGAGGAGGTCTTCATCTTAGAGCAAGGAGAAATTCCAGAGATAAGAGAAGGAATAGCTAACCAGGAACCACTGGAAGAGTTTGAGATTACCAGCGGGGAAGTAAGGAAGTGTTTACTAGAGTTGGATGTGACAAAGGCTATAGGCCCAGGTGGAATCTCCCCTTGGATACTAAAGGAAGTAGCAAAAGAACTGTGCCTACCACTCTCCATAGTGTATAACTAATCACTGGCAACAGGGGAACTGCCAGATATTTGGAAAACAGCTAATGTAGTTCCGATATACAAGAAAGGGGATAGACAGGAGGCACTGAACTTCAGTCCAGTGTCCCTAACCTACATACCATGCAAGCTGATGGAGAAGATTGTGCGAAGAAAGCTAGTGGAGCATCTGGAGTGAAGGAACTTTGTAACACAGCATCAAGATGGGTTCAGGGATGGCAGGTCCTGCCTCACAGGGTTCCTTGAATTCTACGACCAGGTAACAAAAATAAGGCAAGAAAGAGTAGGGTGGGCAGACTGCATATTTTTGGTTTGTCGGAAAGCCTTTGATACAGTACCACACAAGAAGCTAGGAAAAAGCTGGAGATGCAGGCTGGAGTGAAAGGGAAGGTACTCCATTGGATAAAGGAGTACCTAAGCAACAGGAAACAACGAGTCTGTGTGAGGGGTGAGGTCTCAGATTGGCGAGACGTTACAAGTGGAGTCCCGCAGGGGTCAGTCCTTAGACCTATACTGTTTTTGGTATATGTAAATGCTCTCCCAGAGGGTATAGATTCGTTTCTCTCAATGTTTGCCGATGATGCAAAAATTATGAGGAGGATTGAAACAGAGGATGATAGTAGGCTACAAGATGACCTAGACAGACTAAGTGAATGGTCCAACAAATGGCTGTTGAAGTTCAACCCGAGTAAATGCAATGTAATGAAACTAGGCAGTGGAAACAAGAGGCCAGACACAGGATGCAGAATAGGAGATGAAGTACTTAATGAAACAGAGAGAAAGATCTAGGAGTTGATAGCACACCAAACCTGTCTCCTGAAGCCCACATAAAAAGAATAACGTCTGCGGCATATGCGAGGCTGGCTAACATCAGAACAGCGTTCAGGAACCTGTGTAAGGAATCATTCAGAATCTTGTACATCACATATTTAAGACCAATCCTGGAGTATGCGGCCCCAGCATGGAGCCCGTACCTTGTCAAGCACAAGACGGAGCTGGAAAAAGTCCAAAGGTAAGCTACCAGACTAGTCCCAGAACTAAGAGGCATGAGTTACGAGGAAAGGCTGCGGGAAATGCACCTTACGACACTGGAAGACAGAAGAGTAAGAGGGGACAGGATCACAACCTACAAAATCCTCAGGGGAATCGACCGGGTAAACAAGGATAAACTATTCAACACTGGCGGGACGCGAACAAGGGGACACAGGTGGAAACTGAGTACCCACGTGAGCCACAGGGACGTTAGAAGGAACTTTTTCAGTGTCAGAGTAGTAAGACCAATCCTGGAGTATGCGGCTCCAGCATGGAGCCCGTACCTTGTCAAGCACAAGACGAAGCTGGAAAAAGTCCAAAGGTATGCTACCAGACTAGTCCCAGAACTAAGAGGCATGAGTTACGAGGAAAGGCTGCGGGAAATGCACCTTACGACACTGGAAGACAGGAGAGTAAGGGGAACAGGATCACAACCTACAAAATCCTCAGGGGAATCGACCGGGTAAACAAGGATAAGCTATTCAACACTGGCGGGACGCGAACAAGGGGACACAGGTGGAAACTGAGTACCCACATGAGCCACAGGGACGTTAGAAGGAACTTTTTCAGTGTCAGAGTAGTTAACGGATGGAATGCATTAGGCAGTTATGTGGTGGAGGCTGACTCCATACACAGTTTCAAGTGTAGATATGATAGAGCCCAGTAGGCTGAGGAATCTGGCAACCCGTTCTCGCAAATTCGTAAAGTCAATATTGACTTATTAACTACGTGCATAGGTGATATACTAAACATAATAGATACCCTTAAAAGATTAATAGAAAACACCGACCTTACCTAACCTTGTTAGTATCTTAAGATAAGCATCTTATTGCTTCGTAATTACAATTATTACTTAACCTGTACCTATTATAGGTTAGGTAATAATTGTAATTACGAAGCAATAAGATGCTTATCTTAACATACTAAGTAGGTTAGGTAAGGTCGGTGTTTTCTATGAATCTTTTTAAGGGTATCTATTATGTTAAGTATGTCACCTATGCACATATTTAATAAGTCAATATTGACTTATTAAATTTGCGAGAACGGGTTGGAATCTGTACACCAGTTGATTGACGGTTGAGAGGCGGGACCAAAGAGCCAAAGCTCAACCTCCGCAAGTATAAATAGGTGAGTACACACACACACACACACCTGCCCTCCTCTTGCCCTCATCTTCACACACCTGCCCTCCTCTTGCCCTCATCTTCACACACCTGCCCTCCTCTTGCCCTCATCTTCACACACCTGCCCTCCTCTTGCCCTCATCTTCACACACCTGCCCTCCTCTTGCCCTCATCTTCACACACCTGCCCTCATCTTCACACACCTGCCCTCCTCTCGCCCTCATTCTCACACACCTGCCCTCCTCTTGCCCTCATCTTCACACACACCTGCCCTCCCCTTGCCCTCATCTTCACACACACCTGCCCTCCTCTTGCCCTCATTCTCACACACCTGCCCTCCTCTTGCCCTCATCTTCACACACCTGCCCTCCTCTTGCCCTCATTCTCACACACCTGCCCTCCTCTTGCCGTCATTCTCACACACCTGCCCTCCTCTTGCCCTCATCTTCACACACACCTGCCCTCCTCTTGTCGTCATTCTCACACACCTGCCCTCCTCTTGCCCTCATCTTCACACACACCTGCCCTCCTCTTGCCCTCATTCTCACACACCTGTCCTCCTCTTGCCCTCATCTTCACACACACCTGCCCTCCTCTTGCCCTCATTCTCACACACATGCCCTCCTTTTGCCCTC